CTACTACTACGACTACAGCTACTACTACTACTACTACTACTACTACTACTACTACTACTACTACTACGACTACTCTACTACTACTACTACTACTACTACTACTACTACTACTACTACTACTACTACTACTACTACTACTACTACTACTACTACTACTACTACTACTACTACTCCTACTACTACTACAACTACTACACCTACTACTACTACTACTACTACTACTACTACTACTACTACTACTACTACTACTACTACTACTACTAGGGTCAAACCTCACCTTCGTGTCTACTGAGAATGAATGGGTAAGGGTAAGGGTAAGGGTTCGGGTTCGGGTTCGGGTTCGGGTTCGGGTTCAGTCGGAGTTTAATCGTACACGAAGCAGGAGTTCGGAAACCCACAATTTCGCCTTTCGTTGAGAGGAAAACAATAAAGGAGGCTATAGAGCTAATAGTACACGAAAATGAGGTTCGGAAGCCCACTGATTCAAATAATACACGAAGAAAGGGTTCGGAAACCCACAATTTCGCCGTTCGCTCGTTTGTGGAAAACGAAAAAACAGCGTTCCTCTTTTCCTGTTCGCTTTCCTCTTCCTCATCCTCCTCCTCCCCCCCTACACCTCCTCCCCCCCCACTTTTCCTCCTCCTCCTCCTCTCCTCCTCCTCCCCTCCTCCTCCTCCCTCCTCCTCCTCCTCTATCCTCCTCCTCCTCCTGCCCGTCCCCACCTCCACCTCCTCCTCCTTTCCTCCTCCACCTCCTCCTCCTCCTCCCCCTCCTCCTCACTCCTCCTCCTCTCCTCCTCCGTCCTCCACCTCCCTCTCCCTCCTGCGCCCTCCTCCCTCCCTCCTCCCCCTCCTCCTCCTCCTCCTCCCCTCCTCCTCCACCTCCACCTCCGCCAGCTCCGCCTCCGCCTCCTCCTCCCTCCTCCCCTCCTCCTCCTCCTCCTCCTCCTCCTCCTCCTCCTCCACCTTCCTCCTACCTCCTCCTCCTCCTCCCTCCTCCTCCTCCTACCTCCCCCATCCCCCCTCATACTCCACCACCCCTCCACCTCCTCCTCCTCCTCTCCTCCTCCTCCTCCTCCTCCTCCTCCTCCCTCCTCCCCACCCCCCCTCCTACTCCTCCTCCTCCTCCTCCTCCTCCTCCTCCTCCTCCTCCTCCTCCTCCTCCTCCTCCTCCTCCTCCTCCTCCTAACCATCACGAACCAGAAACGAATAAAACCAAAATGCCTTCCCGAATAAAACCAGAACGACGTCCTTATGAAAACCCACTCTCAAGTGGACCAGAGGGCCACCATCCTCGTGAGGGGTGTTCCGGCATTGGGCGTCGGTGGGCCGTCGGCAGCGCTCCACATTGGGCCAGGGCCACGATCCATGTGAGAGGTGTGCCGAACTTCAGCGTCGGGCGGCGATCCAAATGAGGCGAGGTCTACGATCCGTGTGAGGGGTGCGCCGATATTGCTCATCGGTGGGCCGTCGGCAGCGCTCCCAGGTGGGCCAGGACACGATCCTCGTGAGCGGCGTGCCGGAATTGGACGTCGGTGGGCCTTCGGCAGCGCACCCACTTGGACCAGGGCCACGATCCTAGTGAAGTGCGCGCCGGAATCGCGCGTCGGAGGGCCAGGCCCACGATCCTCGAGAGGGTTGTGCCGAAATGAAGCGGCTGGCAGTGGCGGTTGCTCCAAATCCGACGTCGACACGAAGGACAGGTGTAAAACTGTCGTTTGTTGTTCACTTTCTAATACGAATCCAATCTACAGCCTCTACAGCGAATAGTGCACGAAGGTAGGCATTGGCGCGAAAGACACGAAGGCCAGGTTTGAAACTACGGTTTTCGTAATTCCCATGGTAGGAATTCTATTAGGCCTGATACAAAAGAAGAGTACACGAAGGTGAGGTTTGTAGCGACACGAAGACCAGGTGCAACCCTACAACTACTACTACTATTACTACTACTACTACTACTCCTACTCCTACTCCTACTCCTGCTCCTGCTCCTACTCCTACTACTACGACTACTACTAATACTACTACTACTACTACTTACTTAATAACTACGAATTCCTACTACTACTACTACTACTACTACTACTACTACTAACTAACTGCTGCTACTACTCCTAACTACTACTACTACTACTCACTACTACTAACTCCTACGCTAACTACTGACTACTACTACGACTACTCCTACTAACTACAACTACAACTACAACTACGACTACTAACTACTACTACTACTACTACAGTCTACTACTCACTACTACGACTACTACTACTACGACTACTACTAACTAATTAGCTACTACTACTACTACTACTAGTTATTACACTACTACTACTACTACTACTACTACTACTACTACTACTACTACTACTAGTACTACCAGTACTACTACGACTACTACGACTACTACGATTACTACGACGACATACTACTACTACTACCAATATTGCTAGTAGTACTACTACTACTACTACTACTACTACTACTACTACTACTACTACTACTATTACTACTTTTACTACGACTACTACTACTACTACTACTACTACTACTACTACTACCACTACTACTACTACCACTACTACTACTACTACTACTACTACTACTACTACTACCACTACCACTACTACTACAACGACTACTGCTATGAATACTGCTACTACTGCTACCACTACTACTACCACAACTACTACGAAAACTACTATTACTACTACTGCTACTACTACCACCACTACTACTACCACTACTCCTACTACTGCTACTACTACTATCACTACTACGACTTCTACCACTACTACTACGGCTACTACGACGACTACTACATCTACTACTACTACTACTACTACTACTACTACTACTACTACTACTACTACTACTACTACTACGACACCTACTACTACGACTACTACTACTACTACTACTACTACTACTACTACTACTACTACTACTACTACTACTACTACTACTACTACTACTACTACTACTAGTACTACTACTCCTCTACTACTACTACTACTACTACTACTACTACTACTACTACTACTACTACTACTACTACTACGACTACCTACGACCCACCACCTACTACCTACTACCTACTACTAAAGCCAAAAAAAACTAGCTACTACCACTACAAATACTACTACTACTACTACTACTACTACTACTACTACTACTACGACGACGACGACGACGACGACGACGACGACGACGACTACGACTGCTACTACTACTACTAATACTGCTACGACTACTACTACTACTACTACTACTACTACTACTACTACTACTACTACTACTACTACTACTACTTCTACAATCATTATCATGTGTCGCTATATTATCAGAATTGCTGGTACGACTTCTACTACTACTACTACTACTACTACTACTACTACTACTACTACTACTACTACTACTGCTACTACTACTACTACTACTACTACCACTACTACTACTACTACTACTACTAAAAATTATGATACGACTACTGTTACTGCTACCTCTACTGTTACTGATACTACTGCTACTCCGCTCCCTACTACTACTACTACTACTACTACTACTACTACTACTACTACTACTACTACTACTACTACTACTACTACTACTACTACTACTACTACTACTACTTGAGGCTCACCTGGAGCCTCGGCCCCTCTGGGCCTCGGGAGCGGCCTCCTGGTGCCGCCCCCCGAGCCCCCCTGGGCCCTGGCGGGCCCTCGAACCCAGGCGGGCCCCAAAGCCTCCTCGCGCCTCGGAGGGGGGAGGAGGAGGGGCCCTTTCTCCTCTTGAGCCACGCGGCAGCGCGGGGCAAGCAGCCGTCGCCGCCAGGGCCGTCTCCGCCGCCGGCCTGCACACCGCCGCCTGTGCGCCCTTACCGATCCTCACGTGCCCCTCTCCTCGAGCGGGACACTACTCCGCGGCACAGGGTTCCTGCACTTCCCACCGCGAAGTGCAGCCACACAAAATTGAAGTCGATGAATTCCTCAAGGTCGCCGAACTCGGCGTCGTGCATCGTCGAGTAGTCGCTCATAAGTCCCGGCGCTGCCGGGCGTCGACGGCGTAGCAAAATGCCACGCTCTCGTCTTCTCAGCGCCACGGCGGCTAGGCCTCTCGCCCCAGCTGCCTCCAGCGCTGCATCGCCCTCGGCGCCACGGCCGCTAGGCCTCTCGCCCAGCTGGCCTCCAGCGCCGCGCGGCGGCCATCACCGGGCCGGCGACGGAGGCACCACCTCGCCGATCCCGTCCTTGAAGAGCGCCGCCGCCTCGAACAGCTGCTCGAACCACTCCTTCTGCTCGAGCACCGCCCCCTCGGACAGCTCCTGCAACGACACTCCGCGCTCCACGTTGCTCAAGCTGGCGGTCGTGAAGTTGCAGCTGCCCAGCACGATCTCGCGCTCCGTCATCATCACCTTCGCGTGCAGCCGCGAGCCCTTGTGCGCACGCACCTCGCAACCACAAGCTCGCAACCGCTGCAGGCGCGGTCCCTGGTTGTTGGTCAAGGCCTTGTCACGGCCGCTGAACACCAAGCGGACGGTGAGACCTCGAGCTCGAGCCGCCTCCAGGTAGTTCACCACGCCCGGCTGGTCGAAGGTGAAGCACGCCACGTACACGTAGCTCTCGGCCTCGCCGCAGGCCCGCGCCCACGCCGCCAGCGTCTCCGACGCCGAGAGGAACTCGGTCACGGCTCCGCGCCTGGAGGCCACCCCCAGCTGCGCCTTCAGCTGCTGGACCTCCTCGCGCAGGCGAACAACCTCGGCCTCCGAGTCGCGGAGCTCCCGCACGGCCCCCGCGAGGCCAAGGGAGTCGCTCGGCGCCAGGGCTGCACGTCGCTGAGGGCCTCCGGCAGCTCCTTCCTTGCGGCCAGCCGCAAGCGCCAGCTCCACCAGCTCGCTGAAGTTGCCGTCCACCGCGCAGCACCAGGCCGCCCCAATGTGCTTGCAGGGGCCGCCGCCGCCGCTGACGAAGTCCGCGCAGGTGCACGATGCGGGGGGCAGCGCCGCAGCCAAGCGTCCAGCGCGAAGTCGCACGTCATACCGCACGCCGCGGCTGCCTGCCACCTCAACCTCGAACTCGCACAGGTCGCCCGCGTCCTTCGCCGCCGTGCTGCGCGCTGCCTCCACCAGCTTCGCGGACACCACCGCGCCGCAGGCAGCCAGGTCGCGCGCTCGCGCGGCACGCTGGCGGTCCGAATGCTCCAGGTCCCGCAGTGCCACGGCTGCGCTCCTCTGGATCTGGAGGACCTCCGCTCGGGGGCGTGCCGCCGCTCCGATCAGGGGCGTCTCGAACTGCGCCTCGCGCCACAGCGCCACCACAGGGCTGGCGGCGCCATCTGCTGATGAGATAGCTCCGCTCGGGCTCCTGCCAGCGGCTGCCGCTCTGGCCATCGGCTCGCTGCCGAAGGCGGGCCCGTCGCCGGCCTCGCAGGCTCGCGCGCTGGACGTGAGTCCGCGCTGCGCCGCCTCGCCGGCGGCGGCGGCACGCTCAAGCGCCGCCCGCTGCGCACGGCAAGCCACCCACGAGCGCAGGCAGTAAAGAGCGTAGCAGCACTGCACGACGACCGCGACGCGCACCACCAGGACCGCCCCCTCGCAAACCTCGTGAACGAGCCCGCTGAGGTTCCAGGAGACGCTCTGGACCAGGTCGCCGGCCGCCTCGAAGATGTCCTGCGTCAGCTGCACGCCAGCGCGCAGCCCCTCGTCCATCAAGGACGCCGCGCGCACCGCGGCAGCCACCACCAGCACGCGGAGGCCGTTCGCCAAGGCAACGCCGCCGCCCTCCATAGCCGCCGCTCCCGTGGCCGACTGCGCCACGCACAGCCCCACGAGCATGCTCTTGGCGCGGTCGTAGCTCTGGCTGGCCTTGCGAGTCCCCGCGAACCCGGCCGCTGCTAGCGAGTCGCCCAGCGGACGCGAGGCCGCCGGGGGGGGGGGCGCCGCCGCCAGCATCTCCTCGTACTCTCGGTCGGTGTAGGCGCGACCGTTCAGCCACTGCCCCGCCCTGACCCAGAAGTCGTCGATGTAGTTCTTCCAGACCGATCCGTAGCGTCCGCGGCCAGTGCCAGTGAACAGCTCGTCGGTGCAGAACTGGAAGTCGAAGGGCCCCGTCGCTGGCCCCAGCTGCAGCACCTCGGGGAGGTAGCAGCCGCAGTCCGCCAGCACAGCCAGGACCTCTTTCGCGTGCTCAGTGTTGACCAGGAGGTTGAAGCCGCGAGCGCCGTCCATGCCGGAGATGAAGGCGCAGCCCACCAGCTCCCCCTTGACATCTCGGCACCGGCGGATATAGTACACGAACATCACCATCCTGCGGTTGACCATCCTGTAGTCCACGACGGTCCGACGCCTTCGGCCGCTCGCGTGCTCCTTGGTCGGGAAGGCCCAGCTGCCCCATGGCGAAGTCCCCCGGGAGTACAGCCCCTGCTCTACGCCCGCCTCGAGCTCCTCGCGGACGATGGAAGCCTCCGGGCCCTTCAAGCGGATCGGCGGCCCGCGCACCGGCAAGCCAGTCGTCACCACGTCGTGCTTGAAGCCGCGCATGACCGTGCGCGCGGTGCCCTTCACCCAGAACGCCTCGGCCTTCAGGCTGATCATCTCCTTCAGCGCCTCCAGCTCCTGGCTGCCCAAGTGCTTGTAGCCCGCGCACTCGCCGACGAGCCCGACCGCCTCCAAAACCTTGGCCTTGTACTCCGCCGAGCGCCTCGGCGAGACCTTCACCTCGGCGAACCTGAAGCACTTACCGGGCATCCGCACCTGGTCCCAGTCACCCTTCTTGGCCAGCTCGGCCCACTTCTTCCTCGCCGCCGCCGCCGCTGGCTCGCGCCGCGCCTTCCTTTCCGCCATCTCGGCGTCGCTCAGCTTGTCCACCGACCTAGTCACCCCAGCAGCCGGCGCGGCCGCGCGCCCCGGCTCGCAGGGCATGCGGGGCCCCTCCAGCGCTCGCGCGGCTCCGATCATGGAGCTCCCGGCGTCGCCGCTCTGCCCCACGGAGGCGACCTCGACGCCTTCGAGGCCGCGTCCCAGAGGCCGCAGCGCTCCACGGCGGCATTGAACGTCCAGCAGGTCCAGCGGGAAGTTGCCCACGATGACGTACGGCTTCTGCATGGCCAAGGGCTCCTCGTCCGGGCTCCTGCAGTGGAACATGCAGCCGTCGGGGAGCACGTACCGCCAGCGCCCGCGCGGCGCCTCAGCTGACCCGAACCTTTGCTGCCACTCCGCGCTCGCCACCAGCGCGTGCGCTCGAGGGCCTTCGAAGGAGGCCAAACAGCCCGCGCCGTCGAGGTGCTCGAGGCCGTCCATGGTGAAGGAGGCTAGCGCGTGCGCGTTGGCGTCGGGCTGGTGGCCACCGAGGCTGCTCCACTTCGCACAGGGAAGCGCCCAGTGGGCTCCTGCCGGCTTCAGCACTTCGAAGAGCAGGTAGCGAAGCCGGGCGCGGTCCTTGGCCCTGCTGAGGTCCCAGTACTGCCCGCGCGTCCTGCGCTTAAGGTCGATGCCGGCCACCACGCTGCACACCGCGTTGGCTGCGCCTAAGCTCTGGACCGCCTGCGAGAGCCTCCCGACCCCATCGAAGATCTCCACGAAGAGGGGGACGCCGTGCGCCCAAGCCTGGACCTCGCCGATCTTCAGGTCGAGCTCCTCGAGCGGACGGCAAGCTGCGACGAGCGCGATCACGCGGCTCGAAGGGAGGTCGGAGAGCCGCGGCGCGGCCGGCACCACTGCCGCCGCCGCCAAAGCGCCGCGCCGAACCGCACCCTCGTCCAGCCGCCAGCCGGCCCGCGCCAGTCTGCTCGCCGCCGCGTGGTTCAGCACGCCTTTGTTGAGCCCCACGACGCCCAGCACCCGCTTCGCCTCCAGCGTCTCGACCCTCTGCCGCTGGAAGTCCGCACCTTCCTGGCGGTCGTACGCCGCTGTCCAGACCACCTGCAGCCGTCCATCGACCGCCGCCTGGTACACGTGCGCTCAGGTCCTCGGCCAGGCTCAGCACCTTGCCCACCCGGCAGCGCTTCGCCTCCTCGCCCTCGTAGGCCACGAGCCGCCCGACCTTCACCTCTCTCATCCGCGCTCTCAGGCGCGGCGCCTGCGCCTCGGCCACTTCGCCGCCTCCAGGGGCCAGCCGCGCTGCCAGCAACTGTCCAGCAGAGGCCCTGCCACGGCCGTCGTCCTCCTCCAGCTTCACGATGCGCTCCGTGTCGTCGACCAAGCCCGGGACGCCGATCAAGAAATCGCCGTGGATGTCCTTGAGCACCTGCCGGGTCTCGGGGTCTCGCAACGTAGCGACGTTGCCCTTCGTGGAGAGGACCTCGAAGGGGCCGCGCAGTGGGCGGCGGCCCGGAGCGTGCCCGGCCACGGCCTTGGAGAGCTTCGGGTCCTTGAACATCACCATGTCCCCGACCTCGGGGCGCCTCGACGATCTCGTGCGATTAGCCAGCTCCGCTCTGCGCCGGCCGGCTCGAGCCCGATGCTGAAGGTAGACCTCTCGCAAGCGCCTGAACTGCTCGAACTGTGCCGCCGCGACGTCGGAGACTGCCTCGCGAACGGCGGGCTCCAGCGGCAGCAGCTCCCGCTCCAGCGGCGACGCCAGCGACCAGCCCATGCAGAGATCCCTCGGCGACAGCGCCGACTTGCCGGGCGAGTTCCACAGCACGAACTCGACGATCGGCAGCAGCTCGGCCCACTGGCCGGGGGCACACTTAAAGACGTCGTGCAGGAAGATGCCGATCTCCCTCGCGCACTCGATGTGGGACCGCTCCGCATCCGCCTGCTCACAGGGCCTCCACGAAGTACCGAAACGGCCTGCGAAGTTGAGGAGCGCCCAAAGCTCTTCCATGAGAGCGTTGCAGAACTCCTTGCCACGATCCGATCTCACCAGCATCGGCCAGGTCTTGGCCCGAGTCGCGCATCGAAAGAAGGCGCGACGAACCTCGCAGTGCTGCAAGTTCTTGAGCGGCTCGAGAAGGGGGGCCCCCGTCGTCACACAGATGTAAGTCAGCACGTACGCGAACCCGTCGACGTCGGGGGGGGTGATGCGGCCCTCCACGTCGATGACCACATGATGAAATGGAAGCCGGTGCCGTGCCACGATGAAGCTGGCCTGAACCTTCGTAGTCTGCTTCCTGAATCGGAGGCAGGCCCAACAGCTGGCGCACCACTTCTCGATGTCCGCCGCGAGCCCCGGCCAGACCACCAGCCGCCGGGCGCACTCACGAGTAGCGACCACTGTCTTGTGGCCCCCCGACGGACCAGCATGAACATGAAGGAAGATGAAGCGCCTCCACGATATGCCCGAGCCAGGTCCGCCAGATGCAGGGAGGACTAGCAGCCAGCGCTGCTCCCCAGGGCCCACTGTCACGAACTGCTCGAGCGCGAAGTCCTCACCGAGACGCCGCGCCTCGGGGCTGTCGCCGGCGCCAGACTCGGCGCGAAGCTGCATGCAGATGGGCCCGAGATCCTCATCCTTCCACTGGTCCCCGATGATGTGGGCACGAAGCGACTTGGACAGCTCGAACGGCTCGCTCCCCGCCTCAGGCTCGCAGCCCCGCACCTTCGCGGCGTACGCCTCCCTGACCGCGATGTCGGCGTCCTCTAGCTTGCGCCCGTCCGCCACCTCCGCGTCGAAAGCTGCAGCGCCGCGCTCTGGGGCGCGTGCTACACGCCCGAGGGCCACAGCGGCGACGGATGACGTCGGGCCGTGATCGCCGCCTCCCGTCGGCTCCGCTCTGGAGCATGCCTGCTCAGAAGCCGGAGCCTGCATGCTGGTGATCGCCCCGAGGACGTCCGGCACCTCGAATGCCTCCCGCTCGCCGCGCGCGAAGTCGGAGTCCGCGAACTCGACGAAGGCTCCTGAAGCCCGCCCACCGAAGCGATCGCGGATTGCTCGATACCATGCCAGCCCCAAAGCGCCCGCGAAGACCTCGGAGTAGGCGGAGGAGTAGGAGGACACCTTGATGATCGCACCGTTGCTGACGGCCGACCCCCTGCAGCGCCGATGAACGTGAGTGGCGCCCAGAGCGGGGAGGCGCGCGCCGCCCTCCCACAGCAGCCAAGCGCACGCGAATAGCTGGATCAGCTCGGCGCCCTTCGGCAAGCCCACCTGCAGTCGCTCCAAGTCGATCTCCGTGACGAGCTCCAGCTCGAACTCCACGCACGGCTGCGCCAGCGCCACCTCTACGCCCGGCTCGGGCCCCTGCGGCACGACGAAACACGACAGCCGGTAGGAGTATCCCCGCGCGGCCTCCAAAGCCACGACGCCAACAGCCGGCGCTCGGCGGACCCTGATACAGTTGCACGTGAAATCCGCTCGGCCTCCACCGAACTCCAGGAGGTCCCGCACGAGTTCCGCCGACACGGCGATGCAGGGGCCGGGCCCGACAGCTACTGCTGGCTGCGGGCGGACAGCGCGCATGCGCGCCGCCGAGGCCGCCACGTCGACCGCTTCGGGCTCCTCGAACGCGTCCTCCGGCACCTCGGCCAGCCGCGCCTCCTCCTCGAGCTCTCGGTCGGCCCTGATGCACTGGCCGCACCGCGCCAGCACCAGCGAACTCCGCCCGCACGCGCAGCGGCCGCCGCTGAACTCCAGCAGCCGCGGGGGGGCAGCAACCACCTCCTGCATGAGGACCTCGCCCAGCGTGGCCGACGCCGTCACGCCCAGCGCCTCGCCGAGGTCCTGCCCGAAGCGGCGGTGCGCCCCGGCACCCTCAACCAGATAGAGGGGGGCCGGGCGCTCGTCGCCGTGGGCAGCCGCTCCGAACTCAGGGAACGCTTCTCGCACGAAGCCGATCTTGCTCGGGCTATGGGCGCGCGGCCCGATCGCCACGAACGCCCTGATGTTCACACACGCCTCCGCGATCTGCATGCCCTCCGCCTCTCTCGCGTACCGCAGCGCGAGCGCGGCCTCCACCACTCTGGGGTGGGCCGCTGCAGCCGCCACCAGCCCGCCGTGGCCGGCCCCGATCACGACCTTGGGCCACCGCGCAGCACTCTCTCGCAGGACGGCGGCCACCGCGGTCAGCACGTCATTGCGAAGCTGCTTCCGCGCCGGCAATGTAGGCGCGGAGGCGCGATGTAGCACAGGCCGCCGGCACCGTCCGCCAGCGGGGGGTCGTGCGGGATCATGCGAAGCCGCAAGCCTGGCGCGGCCAGCTGCAGCTGTCGAGCTGCCCGCGCCTGCTCTGCGCCCCGCCGCCTCTCGCACCCATAGTCGGGCAGGTACAGCGCGATGGAGTCGCCCTTCTCGCGCTCTGCCCCGGCCACGGCTACCAACTGCAAGGCGGCCGCGTCGGGGGTCTCGTCCAGGCCCCAAGGGGCGCCCTCACCTGGGCGGTAGTCATCGCCGATGATGTCCTCGATCGTGATGTTCGCCAGGGAGTGAGCCTGCTCGCGCAGAAACTTGCCGTGGGCCTCGTTCTCTCGGGAGGGGCCATCACCAAGGGCCGCGCTGCGCCCGGAGAGATTCATCAGTCTGCTGCCGTCGCTCTCGATCTCGCCGACCCAGCGGACGACGGTGGAGTCCGTCTCGGCTTCGCCCGTCGCGTCCTTCACCGCTGCCGCGTGGTCCGTCCAGCACAGGGCGGGCAGCCGACCGAAGTCCTTACGTGCCTCCCGCCTGGTTTCACGCTGCGCATGCAGCTCGCCCCGGCGGGGGTGCCAATTGCTCTGCGCCAAGCTGAGGCAGCCGCCGTACATCGCCAACACGTTGAGCGTGCGCCGGTCGGCGGCCAGCTGATACACGCTGCCGCCCCATCCGTAGGGGCAGAAGTCCGCGACCTGCTCGAGCGGGCGGTCCTTGGAGATCGCCCCGACCATGTCGATCACCGCGAGGCGGATGGCCTCGCACGCTAGCTGCTGAATGGCGCGCTGGGCTGCGACCTTCTCGGGGGTCATCGGCCACTCGGCGTCCTTCTTGAGCTGCTGCGTGAGGATCCCCAGCGGCTTCTGCACCTCCTTGGGGAAGTGGCCGCGGATCCAGTTGAACGTGCCAAGGAACCGTCGCAGCGCAGCCACGTCCTCGAGCACTGACCAGTTCTTGATAAGCTCCAGGTGCCGTTCGCACGCCTCGCTGCCCTCGCGGCCTACGATCTCGCCGAGCGCCTCGATGGAGGGCTGTGCTAGCCTATCGAGGGACTTCTCGGCACCCATGGAGTACCCGGCCGCGATGCACACGTCAAGCAAGCCTTCGACCGCCAAGAGGTGCTCGAGAAGGGCGGTAGCCGCCTTCGGGTACTTCCGCTGCCAGTAGACCAGACGCTCGGCGTAGTACTCGTCCGTCGGAACCTCCAGCTCAACGATGTCCCGAAGCTCGTCCCAATCTTGCCACACGTGCGCCAGCCAGACGAAAAATAAAAAAAAAGAAAAAAATAAAAAAAAAAAAAAAAAAAATGAAAAAAATAAAAAAAACCGAAAAAAAAAAAAAAGAAAAAAAAAAAAGAGAAAAAACAAAAAAAGAAAAAGAAAGAACAAAGAAAGAAAAGAAAAAAAAAAAATAAAAAAACAAAAAGAAAAAAAAAAAAACAAAAAAAAAAAAAAAAAAAGAAAAAGAAAAAAAAAAAAAAAAGAAAAAAAAAAACGCAAAAAAAGAAGAAAAAAAAAAAAAAAACAAAAAAAAGAAAAAAAAAAAAAAAAAAAAAAAAAAAAAGAAAAAAAAAGAAAAAAAAGTAAAAAAAAAAGGGTCGTCGCCGGCCGGCTCGCCATCGGTCTGAATCACTGCGCCCACGATGTCGCCGACCTCGATGCTGACGCCGGGCTGGTCCCAGTTGCCGACTAGGACGAGCTGCTCCCGGCCGAGCCAAGGGCCGGGGGCGGCCCAGACAGCCGCCGCGCCATTCGCCACCACATCGCCGACGGCACCCGCTGCGGAGCTGCTAGCGCGGGCTGGCACCAGTGCGCAATCGCCGAGCTCCAGCCGCACGCCCTCCTCGCCGCTCAGGTAGATGGGGATGGTGGACTCCGAGTCGTCGAAGACGATCACGCCCGTGTCGCCGCCGCCGAACTCCGCGGGGCACTGGCCGCCGACCATGCAGATGGGGTAGCTCGGGCAGGCCGCGCCGGTCCACACTAGGGATCCTACAGCACTGGCAGCCCGACGATCCTCGCCCCGACGCCTGTCGACATCGCACTCCGAGAACACCGCCGCGATGGTCAACAGCTTCGCTTGCACCGCGTCGGCCTCCGCGCGCTTGACCGTGATGCCCAGCCCCGGCAGGTAGTGGCCCTGCAGCGTAGGCCGGTGCCCGATTCCCAGGGGGGGAGTATCGAGCGCTGGGGCTCCAAGAATGATGAGAAGCGGCCTGTCCCACCCCCCGCGCAGAAGGCGAAGGCGAAACACACGAACAACTCGCGTGCCATCTAGCCCATCGAAGGCCAGGCGCAGGTCCACCATGCCCCGGATCTTCAGGTCGCCCTTGTCCGCCACCGATGAAGCCTTCGAGTCCCGGCCCCAGTGCATCAGGCCCGCGATCGGCCAGTCGGGGTCCTCTGGAGACTTGCCCTCCGCGATGGCACTGTTGATGATGCTAACGATTGTCGCCTCCCACGTCAAGGAGAACACAGCCCTGCCATCAAGGAGCGTCCTGATGCCGAGGCCGTAGACGTGCGTGTGGCACAAGTAGTGGTAACCGTCGTCGGGCTCCCGCACCTGCGTCCAGGCGCTGGCGGGAATCTGGCCCAAGTCCTTCAGCGCTCCTTCGGGCGAAGGCGAGCCCCTGATGACGTTCACTTGCGGGAGGTCGTAGCTCGGACCGAAGACGCCGCCACAGGGTCGCACCCATTCGAGCTTGCCACCCGCCGCAGCTTGCACCTTCGGCGCCGCGCCGGAGGCAGCCGGCCGCGCAGCCTCCTCGGCCGCAGGCGCTGCTCCCTGGCCGCTGCCGGAGGAGCCCGCGCTGCCGAGGCTCGGCGGCGGCGCCTTAGCTGCGGCCGCGCCAGCGTAGACTGCCGCGATGACCTTCTGAGCTGCCTTACCCGAGTGGCTGAACTTGCAGTCCCTCTCGCTCTTGCTGCACGCACCCCGGAGGAACTGCAGGCAGAGCTGCGACTTCTGACCGCCCTTGCCGCCGTCGTCCGAGCCCTTGCCCTTCTTGCCGTCCGCGCCCTTGCCCTTCGGCCCGGCCGCGTCCTTCTTGGTCCTCCGCGCCTCGGCGATAGCAGCCCTGTCGTGTGAGAACCTGCAGGCGTCTCCGCGCGCGCACGTGCCGCTGTCCCTCATCCGGTAGCAGATCTCCAAGGAACCCTCAGCGCTGGCGCCGCCGGAGCCGCCGACAGCGCCGACCTCGGGCGGCTCCTGATCACCGCCTCCGCCTCCGCGCCGGCGCCGGCCGCCGCCGCCGCCCGGGCTGGGCGCCAAGTCCGAGCCCACCGCCGCGACGAGCGCCTTGGCCGAGCTCTCGGCCTCCTCCAGCTTCAGCAGCGCGCGGCGGGCCTCCCTCCAAGTCTCGACGCCGCGGACCTCGGGCTGAGCGCCAGAGCGCTGATACACTCGGCGGCCCTTGAGCACCTCAGCACGGTGCGCGGGGGGGATGAGCGCCAGGTAGCTGAGCAGCAGGTCGCGGTCGGACTTGCCCATCCCAGCCAGCTCCATCTCCGCCACGATGTTCTCGAACGTCGCCTGAAACTCCAGCGCGCTCATCTTGCCGCGCGAGAGCGTCCTCCACTCGGCGTTGAGCCGCTGCTGCTTCTCAAGCAAGCCCTCCTTGAACTCCATCAGCCGCTCCTTCAGGCTCTGGTACACCTCGTCGGGGTCCGCCGCCAGCCTTCCCGAACGGCGCGCCTGCTTCAGCTCGACCTTGTAAGCCCGCTGCCGCGAGCCCTTCAGGCAGGTCCCCAGCACGCGCACCATCTCGGTCGCCGACATGCCCGCGCCGTCGTTCGCCAAGCCGACCATCTCCTCGAACTCCTCCACGAACGAGTCCACGTCGAAGTCGCCGTCGCCCAACGTCGGCAGACTGTACTGCGGCTTCACCTGGATCGTGGACGACTTCTTGTCGGCCCGCCGCCCGAGCGCTCCCGCG